GTCGGGTGTTCTTTGTTCTCCTTTCCACATCTTCTATGCGCTTGAGAGCTCCTCTAGTCGCTCGTTTCCTCATGCTCAACTATGAAGCTATCAACATTTGCAATTCATGTGTGTGACAAAAAAAAACTTATCCGCTACGCAGTTAAGTTGCTGGTAACAATTGGTGGTCGCTTCACAGAATGTACAGACTAGATGCCGGTATTTTTCGCAGATGTCCATTCAATACTGTAGCCGAAATCCAGCATAGTGATTGGATTCGAAATAACACCCAGCTGCTCGTCAAAATCCATTTTCATGCCCTTGACACATAGTTGACGACACTGGTTTCTCGACAATTCACAAAAATTTTTCGATTACTCCGCAAAAGCAACGATTTGATATGCACACAGGCTCCTAATGTTTATACGTATTTGCTTGGATACTTGGACGGTCCGCCTTCACGAGTTCTGCGGACCCCAGCACATTTGCCATTCGTTTCTTTCCCTCGCAATTGTCGTCCATGATGGCGGTCTCATTCAAGCATGATGGCGGGTGCTACTCTCCTACCGTGATCTGTAAAATAACTGCAGCTACGAGTACAGTCGATTAATTCTGGTAAGGAATACGCCTGTCCAACGTGTAGGTGACCGTCCTAGGGGACGCGTACTTCCTCGTGGAGCCCACTATATAGTTCTCTTTGTTCATCTGTCGTCTGTTCTTCTCATTATATGACTAGAACATCTATGTTTCGCAATCGAAAAAGGTTCGCCTGGGACTCCGAGATGAGATAAATTCCGAAGATCAAACCGTTGCATTCCAGCTAGATACTGAGTGTGCCGGTTATATTTCAGAAGACATCGTTCAAGTGATCTGTGAGCAGTGTGCCAAATCTCTGACATGGTTGAGGTATCAGCCCACGTCTCTCCAGCACAACAGAGTTCTAGGAGGAGCGCTGAACAGAAAAGTTGAGCTCGGATTATTGGGTCCTTCAGCTAATCAGTAGTTTCTTGAGAAGCCCAAACACGGCCCAAGTTGCTGTCCTTCTCCTATATAATTTCTCCTACATGTTGCTCTCCATGTTCACTGATCGCCCGAGATATACTTACGAGATGGTCTTTGAAATCAGACCTTCGTACCATGGGTTTTTCATGAATTGGGACTTATTCCGATGTATGCGTAGTCCGATCTTTTTTCCGCTTCGTTGTCTTCACTGATCACCGTCACTGCTTGGTTTGTACTTCTTGAGGTGATGACATCGTCGGCGAAACCAAGTTTTTATAGGAATTTTCCAACAGTACGTATACTCTTCTCATCCCAGTCGAGTGACTTCAATATCCACTGCGGTGGGTCACTGAACAACTTTGGCGATTTTTTATCGCCTTGTCAAACCTCTTTCCTTATTGGCATGGTAAGAGATCGATGGAAAAGCTGTACTTTTGTAGCGCAGTTCCGATAAAAGTCAGGGAAGTTCTTATGTAAGACGAGTCCATTCCTTGGCCGACGAACGCTAACAGGACTACATTTGTTTCTACACTGCAAAAGCTATTTTCATAGCCCACAAAAATTAAGACTAGGAAGAGGTAGTACACACAAAAAACTTCAATGGTCCTGGACATAGTTTAGATGTAGTCTACGCAGCAAAATTCCTGTCGAAATTCTGATTGCTCAACTGGTTGTGCCCCATCCAATGTTCTCGACATGCGCCAGAAGATAGATCTTTTCCTTTTGTAGGTAGGCTGTTACATGGTTCGCGAGCAGTACATGTGAATTGTGGCTACCAGTTCTAGCGAAGTCGAGGGTGATATTATCGAGTCCTGGAGCTTTGCCTCTTTTCGTGTTTTCTATCGCAACTCCCTCAGATGCAAGGATTCCAAGTGATTTCTTTTCAGCGCGGTGTTTAGGGTCTCGGACAGCGATTGTGTAACGAAAAAAATTGGTATAGAACACTGCCGTTACCAATCGCATATCATGGTGGGATATTTTGGCGATCCCACCTTCCTTCGTCAGGGCCGACAGCGAAGCTTTATAACCGCACAAGTCGCGACGACGTTTCTTCAGACTGGTTCTTTTCTCTGCTACCTCTAGTAGTTTCCTCTGCCTGGTACCGATTTCGACCTTCCCACACAGATCTTCTGCAAATGGCATTTAATACTAGCCATGTTAAACGTATCGAAGTAGAAACAACCATCAGTTTCCTTCTTTTCTCGAGCAACTCTTTAGTGGTAATGGAAACGATCTAATATTCTTGTTCGAGGAAGTGACGCGAGTTCGGTACAGGTTGTAATTCCAGTGACAAGCAGTTCGCATTCTTCGGTCGGTCTTCGTTAATCTGACATTAAAGTTTGGATCGGAATTCGTTCAGAACGTTCTCGTCATATACAGCTAGACTTTTTCATCGTGGTCAATGACATAAATTCTTTTCCAGCTTACGGATGAGTCGAATTTTCGCACGGTGATGGAAATCAGTGTACGGTGATGGAAATGAATGGGGTACCGATGTGTCAAGTAGGCAACATCGTGTGTTTGTCATAATATGGTCGACCTCCGCATGAATCATGCGGTTTTGATACTCCCATGTCCCACGGCGGGTTTTTTTCTTCAGGAAAAACGAATTTCCATGGAAGAGACGCGCTGCAGACAAGTCCTGCAAGACGGCTTCTATGCTAATTTCTTCCTCCTAATCCAAAATTTCCGACCCTGTATTCGCTCTCATTGGCCTTTCCTATTCTGGCTTCGAAGTCTCCGACAACAAATTTATTATACGCTTTATCACTGCGGATAACTTCCTCCAACTGGTAGTAGAACGCATCCAATTGGTATTCATCAGCCGCATCGGTCCGTGAGTAGCAGTTGATGATTATGATCTTCTTAATCTTCTTATGACGCGTCAGTTGCAAGAGGAGGGCAGTCCGAGGGTAGAGGATTTCGGACGAGTCGACGAGATGTGTAATGAGCGGGTAAAAGACAAAACCTATGATACCGACATTTCGCGACAGGTTCCTGTGATGACATGGTTCCTGTTCTTCAGTTGGCGTATGTCGGCCTTCCCGCTTTTAGTTTCTCGTAAGACGATCACACGAAATTTGACGCGATCTGCGGCTTCAAGAAGGATGTGAAGACCAGCGTCTGAGGAGGGTGTTCTGGCATGATTCATTACAAGAAACAATCCCCATTGGATACGGCGCGTGTTTTTATCGGATCCGGTTCTAGTGACGTCCTGTGTAACACGAGATTTTGTAGCCTCTCACAGGTCATGTCACCGCCTGACGCCAAAGACAAGGAGCACTCAGTGTTGAGGCTGGCTTATTGCTGGTTGAGCAATTTGATCTTCTCTTCTCTGGAGTACTGACTTAACCTTGCAAGGGCGATCCAGGTGTTGACCACGATATGGATCCGAAGGAAACATCTTTCCGGCATAATCCTTCCTTGGTCATGCTACTATCTGATTCGGAGACAATATTAAAACCAGGATCTATAACGAAAGTAGTGATGAACAAATGACCGACCGCTTATGGACGATGTCGAAACCAAAATCCCTGGCTATCAGTCGGCAGTCCAAACGGGAACCCACAACATGAGCCCGATCGCATGACGACTTGTGCAGCATTTCAGCGACGACACGCCTGCTGTTTAGCGTTCGCGCAACCGCGCCGCACGCGACTGCGTAGTGACGGTGTGATCGTACTCGCCATGAGAACCGCAGTGGATCCAGATCCCCGTATCGTGTCTGGATGTGTCTTTGGGCTCACGGTTTCCTACATTTCTCTCCTTGTTCGAGACCGGCCTTTCAGTGTGACATTTTCTTGTTAAGCAATCGAGAGATTGTTGTACAGCACACGTTTACTTCCGCACAAAAAACATGCAATACAACAGTAGCTGTCGTCTCGGCAGTATCCCTTTCTTCAGAGCCTGCAATGGTATACTGATATGCTATTTACTATGCCAGATGCTTCAATAAAGAGAGAAAACGACACATTTACAACCAATTCACGAGGTCGTTCCTGGGAGTTGACCTTTCGAATGGGTCTACCCCTCTCAGAATTCTGTTGTGCAGTGTTTTCATGTTAGTTGGTGTGCTTGTCATTGCATAGAATCTGTACAAAGACCGCCTGGATCGATAATTCCAGGTGTTAATTAGTTGCTAGTCGCTTGAACGATTTGTCATTTGATGGGTTTAGGTGGTTTCTGATAACCCTGTTGTCATTATGTCGTCACCTTTTGCTTACTGCCTATTCTTTTTTAATGGAAAGGTATTATGCGAGATGTAACCGTAATGATGCAGAGATATTTGCAAAACTCAGGGCCGCTGGTGTCTGCGGTGCGGACCGAACACGCTTACCCTTACCCTTTCCGGGGCTAACGTGGGTCACCACCACATCATCCGGGTCCTTTGTTTCGCTTTCTTAGCCGTGTTATTGACCTATAGGTGCTATTAGCGATCACACGTCAGCAGGTTCTGGGGAGGACGAATCGGCTTTGAACACGACTGAGCTAAAGCTGGAGTATAAATCACAATGTAGTCACTTTTGTTTACCGCCTATTCTTTTTTTAATGGCAGAGTCTCGTGTGCAATATAACCATGATGATGCTGAGATATTTGCAAAACTACGGGCTGGAGGTGTTTGCAGTGGGGAACGAACCCGTCATCACTCTCTCCAGGAGCTAATGATTGCTGATAGCACCTATAGGCCAATAACACGGTTGAGAGAAAGCCGAAACGAAGAAATAGCATGGTGTGGTAGCTAACGTGTTAGCTCCTCAGCGGTTCCGAGCATTGCAAATATCTCAACATCAGCATGCCTATTGTCATTTTTCGTGCTGCCATGGTACTTTTGACTCTTATTCACCTCCTATTGTTCTTCCAGTTCCGGAATCGGCTTGGAATTCTCCTCATCGATTTTTTTGTTCAGGTTGTTTATCTTTGTGTTTATTGGACTGTTTTAGGGACGACGTTTGCTGACTTGGTTCTCCTCATACTTATGTACTTCGTTTTGTGACAGGGTATCGATCTTCACTGAAGTATGACAAAATCGCTGGCTCGAAAGGAAACGAATAAGCGAAAAGTGTGTGGTCTTCCAATTCATGTGTTCCTTCCAGTTGTTTTCTTTTTTCACTTAATTGAATTTTGATTTACAGACTTTATTTCGGAATGAAGCGATGGATGCGGCTGTAGCTCTTCCAAGCGACGACATTACCTTCGAGCAAGCATGGATTATCCACAAGCTTGATTGTTTAGGTTGTCTACTTCACGACATGCACAACCCGAAGTAATTTCTACCGCTCTCCTGCTTTTTCTTTTTATTTCCTTTGCTTATTAAGGAGCTGTACTCATTCCAGTCTGGGTTGTATAGGTGATATGTTTCATATTATCTTGTATGCAGTACAAATCCAGGCCAACGAATTGTCGTGACAACCCATACTGTATCAAGCGACTGGGATTGGAAAAGTTCGAGAGACTCATCAAAGCGGAGAAATTAAATAGTGCAAAAGTTGAAGAGGTAGGTGGTGGCATAATTTTGCTCAGTGACTTTGATTATACGTTTTTTCGCTACCACCAAAGCAGTTTTCCCAGATGCCACTCTATGCGATATTTTGCATAGTGTTTGATTACTTGGATACTGGGATACTTGGATGACCACTGTTTGTGCAGGCTCCATCACAATTTTCATTCTCTCGGAGTTTTGTTGGCTTAGCTGTTATGGTTCCCTGGAGTCTCGAGGTCGGCCTGGCCAAAGTCTACCTCAGGTCGTCACCACCATAGGCAATCGCCGCCCTTGTGGATCAGAGGGAGATTTGCCACCATGCGACTAGTTTGATACCAGGACGATCGTGGATCCTGGTATTCGTTTACTCCTGGCTGGGCTTCCGGACGGAAACGTCGGACTCAGCTTGGAATACCCTGATGGAGGGTTGGATCTCCCTGCTGTAAATCGCAGTCCGACGCCTAGGAACACCTGCCAACCACGATGAGACGTTAAACCGTTAGGAGTGTTTGATTATGATGTCTTTTTGTTTATTAGCGAACGACTCCGTTATTACTCCATGTTCTGCTCAAGTTTGAATGCTTATTTTTGTATATTTTAGAGTCAAAAGCGGCGCGACATCTTGGAAGTTCCCTGTGGTTTGACCAATTCTGGAAATTTCTGTTATGTTAATAGCTTCTTGCAGGTATGTTCTTTGATGGTTTTATTTCCCAGCCATGATCGCAAATGAAAAAAAATTGCAGATTTGAATCTGCGTTTCTTATTAAAATTTTAATTGGTATTTTAGGTCTGGTATAATGATCCCATCTTTAGGCAGATCATTTTTGACTGGCGACCATCTTCAGATTATGTTAGGTGAAGAGTACATTCTGTTATAATTCCTTACTTTACCAAAGTAAACTTTTGATTTTATTGCTAAATGACACAATCGTTCTTCTGTAAGCTTCCGTTATATAATCTATAGGCCACCACCACCTGCAATGGATGTAGAAGCTGTTATGAACAGTCTCCAGCATTTGTTTTACACCATGCAGACTACGCCATTCGTAAGGCTTTCTACTTAATTTCTCAGTTTCTAATTGCCTTTTTTCGATCCCGAACTTGGTTTCATTTCAACGATCTCGTGCAGCAAGGGCGCGTATGGCGTAGTGGTTGGAGGCGCCCTGTAGTACACACGGCATCGATCTCCGTGCCTCAAGTCCACCAAGCTTTCCGTCCCTCCAGGGTCGGTAAATTGGTGCCAGCCTTGCTTGGGAGGGTGGCAGCACTGGACCGATACATCGGTAGACCACCGCGACCCACTGTGAAGGCCAGATATGTTTCAGTCACCTCCAACAGTGCTTAATGAAGTTGGATGCATGGCGCCTCCCTCAGGGATTATTCAACGCCGAGAGCTTCATACTTTTATCCCATGCAGCATCGAAACTTAAACGTTTTTTTGGAGCATAGTTTGTAATATGGGGAATTTAAGCGTGACACGCTAATGCAAGGCAACATTTGCTACGAATCTCTTCTCTTCTTAGCATATATTGGTATATTGGTCTATTTGGCATAATCTGAAGTGAATCTTCGATTCTGTGTTGTGTCACGTCTAATTTCTATGGAGACAAGCTCAGCACAATTTAGGGAGCGGTATTTTTAATTCGATCATTCGTTAGAATATATGCCGATATTAATGAATTTAAGGTTCCTTAAACTGTATATCTTTTTCTACACGTCCTTAGTCCACTCCTGTCTACCAATTTCAGGCTTTTACATTTGAGGATGTTGTAGTATACTAGTTGCTTACTTCGTCACCTAAGTCAGAGCATCGTTTAAATGGAAGTTCAGTAACCAGTCGTAGGAATACAAAGAGTACATTACCAAGAGCTTTATTCGTAACCTAGGTACTCTTGAGGCTTTTATACATGCTGGAAGAAAAGAAAGACTACCACTTTGCATACGATTATGTTCAGTTTTCGTATTACGTGGTGAGGTGCCACGTCGCTATCCGTTTATAAAGTTGATATTTGCAACTTTTGCTCGGCTTGTGATATTTGTCTAGGGTCATTTTTGAATTTTCCGAATAAATCTGTTGGGCTGGTACGCTTATTGCGTTAAGATACATATAAAATTGTTTAGAGAGTTAGTTTCCCTGTGGTGCCAATGTAGATGTTTTCTCCGAGCTCAGGGTAAGCTGGATTAATCCTTAGCTTCTCAAGCTCTCCTTTTTCACTCTTGGAAGACTCCGGTAGTTTTCCGATAACTGAGATATTTGAGGAGTTGGGAACTTGTTTTTATTCTGGGAGGACCTTATGATGGCACACTAGACATGTCAACGATTTTTTCGAAATATTCCTCCGATTATAAATCGTAGGGCTTAAATCCACCAAAATGAAGTAACTGTATCAAGACACGTCCTGGTATATTTTTTCCCCGTTTTTTGAAGTCTAGTTTATTCGTTTTGGTAGTCGATATGTGAACCTGAGCAATGAGACCGAATAAAAAATGCACTCTAGTGGTTTCAAAAAGTCGTATTTTCACTCATGTGCATGTAAGTATTAATGACTATATTTCCAATTTGTCATTAGTGGTTTTCAGTACTCTCGCTTATTTTTTCCACTGCATTTTAAGGGTTTTTTCCATAATAAGGGATAAAAAGGACGAAGCATTCGACGTTGGTTTATCCATGAGAGGTACGCCGTGCATCCGACTTCATCAAACATCGTTGGAGGTGATTGAATGCATATCTGGCCTTTACAATGACTCGCGGTGGCCTACCGATGTATCGAGCCAATGCTGCTATCTTCGCAGCCGAGTCCGATACCATTTGCGGGCCCCGGAGAGATGGAGGGCGTGACGAGCGTGGGGCGCGAGGGTGCGTTCCATGTGCGTTCCAGGGCGCCTCCGAACACTGTACTACACTCTGTTTTCCATGATAGAATGTAGTAATTAAAAGGATTTTTTCAATCACAAAGGTTAACCAAATCATTGAGATTGGATGCATGCTTTTATACATACTTAACGCCAGGCCACTTTTAATAACACATCGTTCTTGGATGACAAATTTAGAATTCCTTTTTTAAGGAGGACACAGATGACAACAGGCATTTTACTGCCGCTCTCCGACTTGGGAATGAACAACAAGATGCGCAAGAATTCTCTTTGGTGCTCTTTGATGCTCTCGATAGAAATCTAGCTAAACACCCACATGGCGAAGTAATTCGCCAAAGGATTCGTGAGCGGTACTTGGTGAGTATTTCCATTGTTAAGTACTTGCAATCCAACGTTTAGAAGTGAAGTTTTTTAGGGGTCTTCAACTCAGCGGATTTGGTGTACATGCGGTAAAGAGAGCAGTAGAAGTTCACCATTCTCTGCTCTACAGCTGAACATCGACGGGTACAAAACTCTTCATGAAGTGTTGGACGCTTATTTTGGGGAAGAATTGTATGTCTGCATATTTGGATACACAGTTTCTACGTATGTATGTGTACATATGTATATACACATGTGTATATACGTATATATATACATATATATATCCATACTGGTTGATGTTTGTTCATACTTTTCATCGTTAACAATCTTATGAGTAGAAAGGGTTCACCACGTATTGAATTGAGGCTTGAGGACTACCTTTGTGACGAGTGCAGTCGACGTGGTTACGTAAAACGGCAAACAATACCAGAAAAATTACCTCCTGTGATTATGTTGCAACTAAATCGATATGTTTTTGATGCGTGAGTTGATTACAATTCGTGCAAGAGTTTCCAAGCCGTCGATTATTCCATTAGCTTTATCTATATTCAGGAATGGTAGGAATCGTAAATTGAAGACACCGATCGTATATCCCCGAGAATTATCGGCGCGATCATTTCATTTAGGTGTTTCGAAATGTGGGTGTTTTGCCCTCTGTGGTTACCACTGCTCTTATTGGTAGTATTGAATTAGGCCTTCTAGAACTAAAATCTTAAGTTACACTCTTTCTAGACGACGATTTTGACTATGAACTCTTCGCTGTTATGATCCATGAAGGCGACAACACCTTTTGTGGACACTATTATGATCTTGTTCGTCATCCCTTTACTGGTGTTTGGTACAAGTATAATGATGAGGTAATTAGAACTAGAACGCACAAAATGTGTTGCATTTGTATCCTTCTTTTCATTTCCGTACTTTCTTCCTTTTCGTTATTATTTCAGCACCGTACTATTTATTCTCTTAATCCGAATTTTAGTTAAGCTGTTTGTTCCAGCATGTAGAGCCCCTATCTCGTCCACCAGGAGTAGAACGGAGCAAATCTATTCCTGGTGGGCGGCCAACTCCGGATATGAAAGCCTGTTATGGCCTTGCATATCGTGTGAGAGAAGCGAACATGCCAGATATTGTTATGCCTCCAAACGAAATCACCGAAATATGGGCTACCGCGGTTAGCGTCTTTTTCCTATCTTATTTTAGTTTCTTTTTCTTTTGAGTCGTTCGTTTTACTCCTACTTTTGTTCTGGATTTTTTATATTTAAGACGGAGAATAAATTTGATGGCCAAACTAAAGAGACAATTGCAAAAAGTGAGAAGCGGTTGAACGACTTGACATTGCGATTTACTCAATTGAGCAATTTGTTCGAAGCACTTGAGGTACGCTTAAACAAGTTTTATGGTTTTGAAGCGCAGAACTTTTATATAGCAAAAAGGTTGTTTCTTTATGTTTCGAAGCCATCAGATTAGGAAATAAATGATTTCTTGTGTATTTGAAGTTGTGCTGTATCAGAGCATGCAGTTCTGCTTGTACCTTGTTCATTGTTGGAGAAAATAATGTCTTGTGAGATTTGAAGTGAAAAAATTCCCAGTATGTTCATGCCTTCTTACACGCATTTATTGTAGCATTTTTTGATAAGCAAGAACCTTACAACCACAATAACGGGTGACTGCTGATGGCATTGGCAGATAGAAAACTAGCTGAGAGACAAGCGAAACGAAGGACCTCCGGAAAGGGTAATAGCGTGCTCGATTTCCCCACGCAAGCACCTGCGGTCCGGAGGTTTGCAAATATCTCAGCGTTACTACTTGGATACTTTGATGATCCGTCCTCACTGGTTGTGCGAGCCCCAGCACAACCTCTATTTTTTCGGAATTTTGCTAGTTTAGCAATTGTGGTTCATTGGAGTCCCGAGGTGAGGCAAGCCAAAGTCTGCCCCACAGTGCACTATAATGGTTGCATTTCACATAATACACTGCAAAGAAAATTATAGGACGCAGCAGATAAAAAGTTAACATCAGACCCGTTACAATTGTTTCTCTATTCTATGTGGTGAATGATGGCGGTTACCGTTTCCATCAACAACAAGACCATATTTTAATTTCAGACTCATGCAGATAAATACAAGACACCAAAGGATATTGCTTTTCTTCCTACAAAGTTGTTAAGTGATATTCTGGAGAAAGAGTACTCCTCGATAGCTCCAGATAATAGAGGAGATATCGAGGTAGCATACTTTTTATTTTCTTTGTATTTCAAATGTGGTTTCAAGTGTCGGTTAAAGTTTACATTCGTTAAGATAACGTAATTTTTTAAAGAGATTTAGTTTTACTTAGATTTAGCTTTGAAATTTCAGAATAAACCAGCTGATGCAGCTCAAGAGGAGTCGTCAGGAGAGCCTAACCAGTTAATTTCTGCAAAACGGTCTTTTTTCATTAAAATTACCTTATCGGTAGATGTTTTAGACATTCGCGCCGGAGCACTTTTTTCAATAACTGCCGATATTTCTTCGACAAAAGACTTTTTTTCGGCTTAACGACTGCTTACAAGCTTGTAGAAGAGACTTTATTCCAACATTTTGTCCTGTTCTGCAACATATCGATTGTTCAATCGAGTTTTTGTAATGTGAGCTTCGAGGAAAGGCCAAAAATATGTTTTCTTTGCTCCAAAAATTGAAGTTTTACCCCTTCATAGTAACAGAAGTTGTCCTTTGTTGGCAGATATCCGTCGATTCAAAAGGTTTCTGTTTTAACTGATGAAGTTCACTATGAGTTGAAATGTTTTTGAAGGCTAGAAGCACAATTAATTTTAGGCAACATAGTTTTTTTTTGTATCGGGACCAGTGCATGTTTTCGTGGATGTGTTGTGGCAAATTACCCCTTTATCTAATATTTATGTCGTCCTCTTCCATGTAAATACTGCAATATTGTCGCACTTCAGACCAATTAGGGCATCCCGATTGCGGACTGTTCGACATAAGGTTGCTCGTCAACTTTCATCACAAGAAATTCCAATTTGCTACCATGGTCGGCTTTTTGTAGATTCGGTAAGTTGCAACTTGAAACTAATGTCATGTCTAATCTCTTCTATTTCTTAAATTGAGGAGTTCGGCTGCGATCGGTTACGAATTCATAGATCATAAGCAAACAATTGTTATCAGGTTCTCTTTGGCGACGTGAAAGCAGTATCGAGAACTACCGCTGAGTCCCTGTTGCCCCAGTATGGTATAATTACGAAGGTCAAAGGCGAAAATCGCTCTTCTGAGGATTTCCATCCACTTTTGACTGGGTTTGTTGATTTAAGCGCTAATCCTTAAATCTAAACACTTTTGTGGGATTTGAACGTATGCGATTTGAGGCATTTATAGAAGTGATATTTGCGTCGATTGTGTGAAAGAACTACGCCGTGAGGGTCAATTCAGAGATAGTCTCGAAAGTCATGTCAAATTAGCTACTCGTATTTTGAAGGACAAAACTAGGTAAGATTTCTTATCTTTGGTGCTGTTGTAATGCATTTTATCGCTCATCTCTTACTGTCTTTATGATTCGTTTACTTTTCTATGTTGCACTTATGAGCTATCTTAACCGCTTTCTTATTGCCATTTTTTCCCACAACAAGTCATTTGCTTACTGCCATCTTTTGAACAGGTGTTCTTTATCTCGGACGCCGAAACCTGAAGGCTATCTGTACATATCGAGGAAATGCCTTGCTAATTTCAAGAAACTAGCGTTACGGGAAATGGAGCATCAGCATAAACTACAGTCTACTGGAGCAAGCTTGCAGTTTATGGTCGACCTTGCAACGGTATCTTTTCTAATCCGTTTTTATTCATGTGTGAATCCTGTTTCTATATTGAAATAATTTAAAAAACACTTCTGGCATTTCACTGAGTAGAATCACTAAACAGTCAGCATGATATATAGAGGTGGAAGGCGTACCTGTGTCACATTAAATGAGACTAAATACACAATATTGTTGCCTCAGCATATTCAAAACACATCTGTCAATCTGATCAGCACATTCATTCGTTTTCCTTCATATCATCACTAAATGGGTTTCTTCGAAAGTTCCACGTCAGAAGGATGTTATATACCTCGTTTCCTCTGATGTCAGTGGTCAACGTTCTCTGACTTGCGATATGAATAAGAATACACTGCTTCTATTATAGACATCCCAAGCAAAATAAACTGACAGTTTTGAAGAGTTCTATCAGCGCGCCAAAGACCGTTACTGTAGAGCATTGTAGATTCTGAGTTGAGTTAAAAGTGTGAAGAAGTTAACATCGTTTGTTCTCAACGGAATTATAAATTTACTAACTTATAGTATATTTAAACTTACTTTTCATCACCTTTTCGAAATGTTTGACCACTTTACGAATTTTATCGCGGTATATTACTTGGATACCTACTTGGATACTTAGATGGCCTGTTTTCACGAATTGTGCTTATCTCAGCATGTTTTATATTCGCTTCTTTGCCTCGTAATCGTCTTCCATGGTGCTTTTTTAATTCGAGCATGGCGGCGAGTGTAAGTGTCATGCTGTGATCTGTAAAACAACCGTCGCTGCGAGTACAGTCGATTGCCTTTAGTTACAAACACGTCAGCGGGGTTCGTGGTCGCCCTAGGGAACGCTTGCATTTCCGTGGAATACACAGTACAAATTTTTTCGTCCATCTGTTATCTGTTGTTATTATATGACCGGCCTATCTGTGTTTTGCTACCAATGTGTGTTCTCCCCAGTCTCGAAGGCGAAATAGATTTCGAAGATCAGAGCTTCGCATTCCGGCTAGACATTGAGTGTGCGAGTTGTATTGCAGAAGACATCGTTCAAACGGTCTGCGTGTAGTCCGCAATATTTTTCACATGGCCGAAGTATCAGTTCACAATTATGTTGCATGACAGAGCAGGGCTGTTGGGTCGGAAGTGTGATTTTCTGGTTCTTTAATTAGTCAGTGACTTCTTTGAGTGACCCTAATGTGACCCAAGCTACTCATCCTCTTCTACCTAATTCTTCTTTCATCTTCTGCTCGATGTTCATTGAACGCCCAAGGTACACGCGCGAAGTGCTTTCTGTAATCAGAAAATCATCCAGTTTGATTTGATTGTCTCCGCACTATGGGGTTCTTCATGAACTGAGTCTTCGTCTTATTTATGAGAAGTCCAACTTTTTTTCCAATTCCTTTAGCTCACTTAACATCGTCTCTGCTTCGCTGATACTTCTTGAGAAGATGACGATATCGTCGACGAAGCGAAGGTTTGATAGGGATTTTCTATCAATATGTATGCCTTTCTCATTTCAATCAACTGACTTCATTATCCACTGCAGTGCAACACTGAACAGCTTTGGCGATATTGTGCCGTGTTCTCGAAATCCTTTTTCTATCGGCATGGTAAGAGATCGATGGAAAGACTGTATTTTTGTGCTGTAGTTCCGATAACATTCAGATGGTGTTCTTTTCTAGGGCGGGTCCATTCATTGATCCACAAGCGCTGACGAGGATTGCGTTCGTTTAAACACTGTTAAACGCTTCTTCATAGCGGGCAAAAGTTAGAACTATGGGCAGGTGGTATTCCTGGCAAATTTGAATGGTCCTAGACATAGTCTGGGTGTGGTCTATGCAGCAAAATTCCTGTCGAAATCCGGCTTGCTCAAGTGGTCGTGCCTCATCCAGTGTCCTTGACGTACGCCAGAGAAGAGCTTGTAGAGTACACTCAACAAGCATATCGGACGAATTTAGGAAGATCCTTTTCTTCATCTTCCTTGGACAGGATGACCGGACTCGACGTTCTCTACTTCTATGGAGTCCTTTCCCTTTGTAGGTAGGCTGTCATATGGTTTCCGAGAAGTACATGGGAATTGTGGCTACCAGCTCTAAGGGTGTAGTGGTAGACCCATCTTCAATAATTTTCCACATGATTTAGCTAAGACGAGGGTGGTGTAAACCTTCATTTACCTAGTGTTCAAAGCCGTGTTGATCCAAGTCGATGGTGTATAGTTGGCTTTCGGTTTTACGTCAGTCGTTAGTCACAGGAAGAGAGTCAGTTTTTAAGATATTGACATCCATCTTCGTTCATCGAAGCGGGTAGCGAACATTATATTCACACGGATTCCAACGGCATTTTTTCGTACTGGATCGTTTTTGAGCTGCTTCCAATAACTTTTTCTGTCTTTACCGATCTAAATTCTCCAATGTAGATCTTCTACTGACATTTATTGTCTTCCGTATCAACTGTGTTGCAGCTGCAACGGTCGCTGAGGAGCAAGTGATGACAGTGATTGTCTTATGACTTTTCTTCTTATTTGTCGTCGTCAAAGTTATTTGATGTTGTTCGGTAGTGAACGAGCAGGTGATATTAACAGGCTAGCTGCTGTAAGTAGCCCGGGTACTGGTAGAATATCCCAGTCGTGCTGGTTGATTGCTTCCTTCACATTAAAACTTTTTTACTGAACATTCCTAAATATCGCTCTTTGGATGCGAGGGTGTAGTCCGCTTTCATCAGTTATTCAGGTTTTTGGCAGATTTTCCATTCGTTTTATCGATCATCATGATCGTTATCACCTTTAGTGGTTTGTTAATCTTATTGCCATCATCACGTTTCAGAAGAATTTTATATCGATGGTTTGGTTTCATTCTTTATTGGATCACATCTGTCAAATGTACGTTGTGTATAGGCTTACCTATGATTGTAGTCGGCGAAGCTACCGTCGTAATTTCTTGTTATCTAGTCTAAGTGAATAACGTGATGTTAACACCCACAGTCAACAGCCTTCCAAGCATTTTTCCACACTTCTGTTTGAATCGCAAGTGGCAGTGATTGTGGCGTGAATGACGTCGTCTTCTCAGCAAGTTTACGGTTTCTTTGAACGCTTAGGGTTGTTTGAAGCAATCAACCAGTATTAAGAATATCCATGGATTACGGCAGTTGTCCTCTTTTGTATGTTGACATCCTGGAGTGGGCTTTATCGTTCAAGTTCAAAATTTGCTCTTAAACGCGGCATAGAACATCTAAAAACTTTTTTGCTGCACTGGTATTACGTAAACAGTAATTATGCACAGAATTAATACTTGTTGGAAATATTGCGTTTCATTAATATCCGAAAATCCAACCAAGAGTGAGTGCTCAGAATCATAGCGATGCTGTCACTTGTTGAAAACTGGTGTAGACATGGAAAAGCTTCTGTATTGTCTTTGAGACTCCAGGGGAAGTTTTGTTTAACCAATTTTGACTCTGTATGGTTCTTCGTGCTTTGTGAAAACGTGCCGCCTCAGTAATTAACTATTAGGTGACTGATTTCTTAGAATTCGAGCTCAATTCAGTGGAGATCAGTGAAAATTGTGCTTAGTTAACTTTGTGAGAGAAATCCATTTGCTGTTTGGGAAGTGAGGTGTCGTCATTCAACTTTTCCAATTGGCAAAAATTTTGGAACCCGTTATTGATGACTGTCTTTTCTCGCTTCAATCAATAAGGTTATTTTTTTCTCTATTGGAATTTATTCTTTGGTACCACAGTATGTTATTCGACGTTTGTCATTATTTCAGTGTTACTCAATACATCTCTGGTGGTTCATTTCTACAGTCGGCAAAGGAATAAATTCCTGTTTTGAAATCTGTAATTTGCTGGTAGGAATCGGTAATAGGCGATGAGAGCCAGTCCTATTTCTCGTGGGTGTACCACCCACCAGCAGATTTGTTGCCAAGTCGGCCGTATGTTTCTTTGTGAAATGGGCTCCTAGTGAGAAGTGTTTAGGAAGGAAAGGTGGTGGAACGATATAGTACTCTCAACTTCTGTAGTTTTGACATAAAACCGCAACTTGACGCAATTTTTCATTGTATCTAAGCCTACTGTTTGCAGGTTGACAACAAATATTCTGCTAATGCAAGTTCACCACGGCGTAGTCGAGTGCCTCGCCGGAAGCGAATAATGACGAGAAATGAAAGCGAACCAATGGCAATGTGCAATGGCTGCCACACGCCTTCAAAACTTTCAAAGGACGACCCTATCATCAATCATGAGACGGCGGATGTCAAGGAGAATGTCGTGCAAGTCGAACGTCAAGTGGTTGGTGCTGTGGGAATTTGTGGGAAATTAAACATTAAATTATGAGTTCTAGGCTGAAGATGTGTATTTGGACGTGGATAATGAGGATGATGAAGTTCAAAAAAAGGTTAGTAGTCTGCGTATTATTTGAGATTTTCTTCCATTTTTTATGGAATCGCTTATTTAGCAGGTCATTATTCGTGAAACTGCGGAATAAAAATTTCAGACATTGATAAGATGTCCTAATGTTGAGTTAACTTTCAAAAAAGTTTCCTTGGAATAGCAGCGTTAATTTTTAGGTTGAAATAATGCCGCAGTCTGTTGATGATAAAGCAGAGATGTTTGCTTGTGGGGTCAGCACTTTTTATTTTAGTTTAGTGAGCATTTTCACTTTAACTGTTCAGAGTCAGGAAATTATATATGCATTTAGTCAAAAAATTTTCAGGATGATATGACATTAGCTTCTTCCGAGGTCGATGACATAGCTTCTTCAAGCAATTCTGTCGAGTCAGGTGTGCAACAGATGGATTCATGTCGCCTTGATTCTGAGCCTACTTCCACTTTGTCATATAACTTTCAAGATAACTCTGCAACAGAACTTAACGATAAAAGAAAAACATTGTCTGAGAATGGAGATGTGAAATCTGAAAAATCAGCAATAGTTCAGAAATATTGTGAGGAACACGATGAGGCGAGGTATACTTAGCTTCTTTCAGTAGTAAATCACTTGTCTGTAGAATATTTTTATCCCTTATATTTTCAGTGCGGCTGGTTCACCGCATGAACGCCCTTCATGTTCCCCGCCTGAAAATTCGTTGTCTTCTCCATTGGAACGGCCGTCATCATCTGCAAGTCACTCAAGTACGCACGACCTTGGAGCAGTGGAGTTCAACTCAGAACTACGATGTGAACATGGTATCTATCATTATTATTCAGTAAAATCTGGTTCGAGACGAAAAGCTGTGGTCTAAAAATATGACACCAATTATGGTTCTTTTTGTTCTATGAGTACGTTTTTTTGCTCTTGCTTCTTTTTATAGGTCGTCCCAAATTTTTTAAAGTTCAAATGCCTCAACATATGGTTTGCTTCATTTAAAATAAGAATCGTTAGGGTTTAGATATTTTTACCACTCAGGTGCACTTCTGGGTATATGTACGTCGACATTAAAGCATTGAACCATTTAATGGGATGCGAAGAAACCGCGGTTTTATTTCTTGCAATAGGATTCTAGACTTCTAGAGTAAAAGAATTTACTGGAGGAGTACTCAGCAGTGGCTTTGTTGTTGGACACTTTTTTGCCCTGGAAATTCAGTGGAAAACATAGCAAGTCAAAAAGTAGCTGTGAGCAAGTAGAACTGAGTTCTGGATTAGTCGGTGGTCTGAAGTCAGGTCACCCAAAAGAAAAGCAGACTGCAACACCTTTATTCTTCATTCATATCTTGGTAAAAGGACTCATATTTCGTGCATAACGACTGATTTACTTGGTTACTACGTGTATAACCCGTCCTTACTGGCTGTGCAGGCCCCAACATAGTCTCCATTTTTTTTTTCTTTTGGAGTTTTGCTGGTTTAGCTGTTGTGGTTCCTCGGAGTCACGAGGTAATGACCAATATACATTGGAAAAACGCATTTGGTACGGAAGTAAAGGCTTCTTTAACATTTAAACCAACGTATGTCATTACATATTCAGGTTTAAAATAAAAACCATTAGAATTCACCAAATAGCCTACAAGGTACAACTTCAATTTTTCTGCCGCGCTATAGTTTCCATTTTCTGGTATGTGTCAAAGTATTTTGGAAAATAGCAGGCAGCCTTAATATCTCATGTAAATTTCATCGATTTTTCCCGTTTTTTTTTTCTTGTTTGCATTTGGGAGTTCAACTGCGCATTGCTGTGAAATAGACGTCGCCGCCATTGTATTACACCATGTTACTCCCGATGTCTATTTCGTATAATTGAGAGTTTGCTCTAGAAGTCTATAAATAATTCTAGAGGTTTCTCGAAGAACTCTGACCCTATGACCCACTAGAACTCTCTATAAGATTGAAGTAATAGTACATAAATTGAGGTGCGATTGAAATGGGGCGAAATTTGTTTTGAAACCCATATAGTTGTCAACTGTCAAATTACTCCAATAATTTGTAACACATCGTCAGTTCTCAAAAAACCCACCTAAACCGATACGTGATAAATGACCCATACGCATATCTATTTACTGCACTTAATGCCTGGAAACTTCAAAGATCGATCTTCACGAGTTACAAAGAACTGCTCAGGCTGCGTGTTTTTGTTTGCTAATTTGTTGGCTGAGTAATTCTTTGGCTCTATAGAGTCTCAGATGCCGTGCTAGAACTGGGACTTCTCCGTTATCAACACTTGCCAGCTACCATGTTGCCGAGAGGATAGGGATTCCTGGTACTGGTTCACTCCAGAATGGGTTTCTGAAACCAAGACTTTGATGCATTACATTTTCCTTCACTTCGACCACTATTCTTACTAATTTCTTGATAACCGTAGCTATTTTAGGCTGTGTTAACCTTGACGAGTTTCGCCAAGCAGTTAGTCCAAAGGAATGGGAGCAGCTGTCCTCTTATTTTGACATGGCCACAACTTTTCTTGTACGTTGTGATGAACCAATCTGTCGACAGTGCGAGCAAGAATTCAACGTAAGTCCATCATTGTATTGTGGTTAATAGCGAAATAAAATAACTGTTCACTTCAACATGAATGGTGGAGGTAGTTTTCATTGCCAGTAATGTTTAAGACATGGTATCACATGTTTGCAGTAATGTAAATTCACATTTATTTACAATCGATCTGGTTGCACTAACCACTTTTGCACTGCCCTTTTTCCATCAAAAAGTACATTCTTGACTTAGACATAATTGTCAGGGAAGGATTTCAATTATAAAATCTTTTTGATCGTACCCTTTCTTCATTGTTTGTTAGGTGAGGGTTGTTTCGTATTTCATCAGCGGCTGATGTGAAGCATGTGAACCACGGTGAACTTTATTTAAAATAAACACTCCTTGTAGGAACAGCAGAGCGGTAAGCAAGAGTTGAAAGAGTCTCTGAGGGATCTTCGTGGACGCATTGGAGAATTACTTCGTGATATAGATCGACGTCGTCCAACAGAAGAAGAATATGGCACGATTTACTCTCGCGGCATCTGCAGCAAGTTCCTTGCTAAGCTGAATACAACGATAAAGTACGTAGTATATCCGGGTTTTGGTAAGTTATGTCGCTTCAACCTACATTTCACTTATTCAGAGCGCGAAGTTCGTCCTTGGTGTTGCCGTCAATTTGTCAAGAGTGTGTGTTATGTTCACATGGTCTGCCAAATGTAGGATTAGCATGCGATTTTGGAAGCGTCCATGTGGTTGCTTTGACTGAACAAGAGTGGGACAGACTTTGTGACGAAGTCGTTACTGGCGTGGGAGCAAGTGATGCGGAAACCCCAAAACCCATCATCATTTTGGAACACGGTTAGTTCACAGTTTCAAATTTCTTTAAATAAAAGGGATAGATTGGAAAGTTGTAGTAGACAACAGATAGAAAGTTAAGATTGTAGAAAGAATAAGGCTCTCAGCATCGATCAATCCTGCAGGGATGCGCCTTGCATTCCACTTCATTAGGATCGTAGGAGGTGACTTAATGCGTATCTGGCCTTTACAGTGGCTCGTGGTGGCCTACCGATGTATCGAACCAGTGCTGCTATCCTTCCAAACTAATCTAATACCAATTTGCTTACCCCGGATGGATTGAGGGCTTGGTGGACCTGGGGTCGGTGATCGTTCCCGTGTGTATTGCAGGGCTCTTCCGACCACTGCACTACATGCGCCCCAAATTCCAAATTTCTCTAGTGTGATTATATCATCGGTATCCTCAATAGGTCAACACTTTTTTTTGCTTCCCTATTCAGTGAATTTGGAAATGGAGAATTAACTTGCAGCCCAGTTTTACAGGAACGGTAAGGATTTGCAGATGGTGGGAATTTTTTTGCATTTTCGAAAAAGACCAAGGAAAAATTTTCTTGTGCGCAAATGTTGTTTATGAAACCACTTCAACAACATTTCATCAGATATTTCGACGATTTTGAACAATGTTTTGCCGTTTCATCAGTAAAAATCATTGCTGCATCATTTGCGGACTACTTTATTAGAGACCGAACTGTCTCGAATGTACATGACTTGATAAAACCAACGACTGTATGAATCCGTTGGAGCCACCGCTTAACTCCCTTTACTCATAATCCCTCTATATTTTGATGTGTTTTTCTGGACTTATCCTCTACTCCCCGGTAAGGGCAATAGCGCGTGTTCGTTCCCCACCGCATACACCTGCGGTCCGGAGTTTTGCAAATATCTCAGCATTATATACGAGTTATATTTCGCAATATACCCTGCCATTAGAAAGAAAAAGGCAGTAAATAAAAGGGTTAAGATTAGTGGTAATTTTCTGTTTAACAATTCCTTGTATCGTATTAAAAGCATTGTTTTAACCTGGAAGTGGTTTATTCTAAAAAGTGCCTTGTTTAAGGACGCATATCCAGTATGTGTGAGAGCTGCTTTGGCAAGCGTCTCGAATCACTTAATATACAGCGTTATGTTTACGAAGACGAGTTTATCTACGTTGCATTAGTGGGTAATCTTAAATTGACCTTTTTTATTCGTTTTCATTAGTCAATTATTACATTTAAGAGTGAGGATGGTGCTTTAAATGGATCGTTCGCGAAAACAACAAGACGAACGCAGAAGAACAAATGTTTTAGGGTCAAAGTATGGTTTATTTGCCTATTAAAGCGTTTTCTTTATTTCTACTAAAACACTTGCAGATGTCATCAACCGATACAGTTAAAGATCTTAAAGTCCAACTTTACAAACAAACCGGTCAAACACCTAATGATCAGTTGTTATATCGAGAATTAGGAGGTTCCCTCCTTGACAGTGATTCAACGCTATTTGACGCACGCATTGAGAAAAACAATGCTGATCAGGTTAGTTGCTTTTTCTGACGTATTGCTGTTCTTTACTTCGTTGTTTCACTAGGTTTACATTAAATACTAGTATAAGGTTTCTCCCAACACAGTATAAGGGCCCGCACAAACGTGAGGACAAGTCATCCAAGTGGGTATCCTAGCATAGTAAGTCACAATGTAAGTGACGAACCTAGAGAAGTTTTTCTGAAATGTATAGCAAAAGCATTTAAGTTCGTCAAAGATCGCATGTCTTAGACAGTATTTTCAGCCTCTTATTCTGATTGCACAGTCAGTCTCTAACGTGCCTACCAAATATGACGAGCAGCCGCGAGCTCCGGAACGTGGCTTTATCGATACTGCACTTGCTCACTAGGGTATACTCAGTGTGTATAGATTTTTTTTTACTTCTCAATTGGTCGAGGACATTGCCTGTCATGGTTCAGTATAGTTTTAACTATCACCGTTTCATGAACACCGATTTTCAAATCGGTCTATCCTCTCAGGTGTTGGCAGCGGTTTGGGTTATTTTGTCTCAGATCTCTATTTCTTGTCGCTTATTCCGATAGTCGACGTTTACAGACGCCTTCATTCCACTTACTATTTTGTCCATATCAAATGAAATATTTAAGTTGCCCTCCGTGCATTTTATTTATCCAGCCATATCATCAAAGAATTTTATTGTATTCCTTGGTGACCGCAGAGTTATTGTAATAGATGATCGCTAGTAACAGTACGCTGTAGTTTGATAGTGCTTGATCTCATTGGTTTAAGGCGATAATGTTACTTTAACAGTTTCTTTATTGTTGAATGCTCCTTTTTCAATTTTCGGACCATGTGTGTAGACGGTATATTTAGGCTTTCTTTTACTAGTGCTTGAGGCTTTAATGCAGTATTTTGCGTTGAGCGTCTGTAAATTCGGTTTTCTAATTTTGGGTCCAAAAGCTCAAACTGGATCGCTCACTTCGGCGGCAATTTATAATATATAAATAACTATTTTTTACGCGAAATGAATAAACGGTTATCAAGTGGTGCTTCACTTCTTTTTTTAAAATTGGCTACAGTCGCCTACCTACATTCGATTATTCATAATTTGTGTAGTTGGCTACGAATTCTGTGCACTTGTTTAAAGCTTGTTGGGTCTCCAACATTTCCTTGAGAGGGATCGCTGGGTGAATCGGAGCGTCAGTAAATTTTCCATTTGTTCCCTGTGGCGTACGAGAGTACCACAGTGTGTTTAGGTGGTTCAGTAAGGTACTAAAGTGAGTTCTGCTCACTCTGGGGACTCACTGGGCATCATATTTCTTCTAGGGTCTACGTAAAGAACTTTGACTATCGGTTCGGTGATCTTCCTGCTCTGCGTTTGACGTCCCAATCGCTAACGACTGGTGTCCATTAGTTGTCGTTGTTCAAACGCAGCACCTGTTGGATCCACGTGGTTTCTGACATTTTGGAGTTTATGACGACTTCTCTAATTGTCGTCCTCTGTTGTAAGTGAGAACTTAGGATTGCTTCTATCGTGTGGAAAGAGATAACCTGTTAAGCTGATGCTGTAGTCGAATTGGATTTAACGCCGGTTTGTGCACTCCGAATTTTCCCCGTTGTCGGGTATTTGCTCATAGCAGGCTTATGGGGAAGAACTATCAGGAAAGGTTAAAGCAATGGCCGCGGTTGGTGCAGTGAATAACACGAGAACCTCCGGACAGCGTCACGGGTTTAAAACGCACCTAAGGTTGTGAGTTCTGCTGATATTTCAGTTTTATTGTGGTTGCGTTCGGAGATATTTATTCCACTGAGCGTGAATGGGACATAAGAAACAAATTTGTTCCTCATGAATATCGTTTGCATAAGATTTGGGCTGTCCCCAAGCGTTGCTCAAGTCACCCAGCAGTATTCTTTAGCCTGACTTGATGTTATAAGAACTATTTCATCAGCCAGAACAGATGTCATAGCTGCCCACACTTAACTTCGATTTCCATGTTGTTCCATTTTAGGGTACTCATGTCGTTCGTAGGGGTGGCTATAGATGATCTTGGCGAAACGGTATCGCCTTTCAAAGTCACTAAAAGTCAAGGCATTGTGATTGGACTGCAGCTTGGGTTTTATTGGATGCAGTGCCGATCATACTCTCCAGGTCTTTCCCGTTGACGGGTGATTGCTATTGGCATAGTTGGAGTCAAGAATCGGCCAAGAAAAAGCAAAGCAAGGACATAGGTGGGTGTGGTGGATAGTAAGGTAGCCCCCGGAAAGGGTAATCGAGGTTTCGAAGCCCACCTGAGGTTCCAAGTTTTGCCCATGTCTCAGCAGCCTTGTGATTATAGTTCTATGGTAGCTTCTACCTGGACTGATTTCCAGGCTATATCCAAACTGATGGAATTGGACTCGTTTTTCATATGTACTGTGCGGATCCCAGCAATTCTCACGTTCGATTCGTTTTTTCGCATCCATCATCGACAAAGGTCCTCCAACTTTTTACGTGTGTCTTCAGCCGCTGCTTGAGGACTTTAATTTCATCTTGAATTTCGTTGAATTCTGGTCGAGTCGAATTTCCCCTGGAGTACTGATAGCTGTGATAGAACGCTTCCAAATGGATTGCAGAGAGTGATTTTTCCCGGAGAAATCCGGCACCAATTTCCCTACACTGGAGAGATGAAGAGCTTGATGAGCCTGGAGCGGGATCGAGCCGTCATCGTAGTCGTGACGATCGGCATCACTGCCACCGTGCTAGTCACCTCCTGGAAGTGATTTAACATGGTTTGCGCAATATAATGTGTCGTTTCCAGAACATGGCACCTATTTCTTCCTGTGAAATGTGAACATTTTAAGTTGTTTACCTTTCCCTGTCCTTTCCAGTGTGAGTAACAACGTATGGCTGTTTATTTACTTGCCAACAATTGTCGTTTCAATAACATGATAGCAATTCATGCTTGTTTTCGTCCTCAACATGTATAACCATATGTATCCTTTTTTCCTTCGCAACGGTTTACTTCGTCATCGTGGCTGGGAGGGTCCGGATGCGATGTACAGCGGGTGGATTCATCCCCACCCAGCAGGATCTCCCAAACTGAGGAGTTCGGCCTTCCCATCAGGAAGCTCAGCTAAGAGTAAACCAATACCAGGATTCTCCACCGTTCTGGTATCAAACTAGTCGAATAGTGACAAATTCCTCTCTGATCCAGAAGGGCGGCGACTGCCTGTGGTGGCGATGACCTGGGGCAGACTTTGGCTGACTGACTTTAGGACTTCAGGGAACCATAATAGCTAGACCAGCAAAACTCCGAAAGAATGGAAATTATGCTGGGGTACGCACAACCAGTGAAGACGGGCCATCCATGTATCTCTTTTTTCACTTTGTGCCCTAATCAAGACGACCATAGTTCATTCGAAGACCATCGATGATATGATCCGGGGTCGCACATTCTGTTTAGTGGGAAGTTTAAATGTGATCATATTCAGAGCACTGTTTTTATCTATATAGTGAGATCTTTTCTCCATCGAAGCAGTAATTTACTAGTCATACCACTTACGATATCATACACCGTGACAGAAGAGATCACTAACGCCAGTGAATGATAGTTGTATTTCGTATCCTTCCTATACATGCTATACATGCTTTCTGCATCATTAAGTTTTCAATCGCTTCTAAATTCTGTGTGATATGCAGCTTTTCGTGGCTGGCGCGTGTGGGACAGTGGTTGGGGGCACCACTGCGACACACACGTGGAATCGATCCCCGCGCCCATGGCGCACCAAGTCCTACATCCCTTCAGGGTCTGCAAATTGGTACCAGACTTGGGAGGGTAGCATTACTGGATCGATACATCGGTAGGCCACTGCGAGTCATTGTAAAGGCCAGATTTGCATTCAATCACCTCCAGCGATGTTTAGTGAAGTCGAATGCATGGCGCATCCCTCAGGGATTGATCAACGCCGAGAGCTTTATGCTTTTTATCCTTTATGTGGGTTTTCCATGCGACAAGAAATTTAGACAAGTAGCTATTTAATACAACTATACTTACTTGGATGGCACGTCCTTACTAGTTGTGCAGGCTCCAGCATAACTCTCTTCTTCGGAGTTTTGCTAGTTTAGCCATTCCGGTTCCTTGGAGTTCCGAGGTCACCCTAGCCAAATTCTGACGCAGATCGTCACCATCACAGACAATCGCTGCCCTGGTGGATAAAAGGGAGATTTACCACCATGCGACTTTGATACCAGGACGGTGATGGATCCTTGTATTTGTTTACTCTTAGCTGGGCTTTCTGATGGAGGTGCGGACTCCTCCTCACTTTGAGAGGCCCCACAGGAAGAATGAATCCTTTCGCTGTACGTCGCAGCCCGACACCTAGAAACAGCTCCCAGTCACGATGAAGCGGTGAGCCGTTGGAAGGAGTACAACTGTAGTTTAAAATCTTATAACTTGCAACCCACTACAGTTCTTTGTTTCTACTTTGTGGAATGGATTGTTTCTAGGTACGTCTTGTGAGATTGTCCTCGAACTGTGAGGATTTCGCGTCGTCCCATGATATAGCGCCTCCTCACATTGTCTCCATCGCGAAAGGAATCATGTACAAATCTATGAATGTATTTGGCATTTCACATATGTATTTTTTATTTCATTGAGAGAAAGGCGAAACGAAGGACCTGTATGGTGCGGTGGTGAACGCGTTAGTCCCCGGAAAGGGTAATAGGGCGTTCGTTCCTTACCGCAGACACCTGCAGTCCGGAGTTTTGCAGATATCCCAGCATCGTTGTCGTTGTACTTTTTATATTTAACATTTCTGAGATACAACCACAACGATGCTGAAATATTCGCAAAACTTGGACCGAAAGCCAGATCGAATTACGGTTAGCCTTTCCGGGAGCTCGTACGCTACACACTGCGCCGCTGAGACTCTTGCTTTGCCTTTCTGTTGACTACGTAAACTCTTTCTGCATTTTACCCTTTGTGTTTTTCCATATTCAGCACCTACGCTATGAGGAAAATTCTGGACTTCAAATACTTGGAAGTTTGATGTCTCATTAAGCACCTGTCATGGAGACCGTGCAATTGCACACGCCACTCTGCTATCGATCGAATAATGTCGTCAAGTTCATCTACTTCGTTCACTAGTTTAAGGTGCCCTTGTATTTCATCGTTATTTGTCCTGCTGTTTCCTATTGTTGATATTTTTCCATATGGATCTGAATACTCTGGTGATAAGAACATGTCAAGGTTCTAATGAGTGCAAAATACTGTGTGGGTCCATGAAGGGTGCACATTTCCTAACCTTTTGCGTCACTTTGGTTTGTGTCTACACTTGAGAGATTGACCGCAAGTTTAATGTTTTTTAAAAATCGTTTTCCCTATAAATCGCGGAGAGCACGAGCTCTGCAGACTCCCATTTGAGCTAGTGATGTCTTCTATGTGCTACCCTTTGTTTTGGGACGAAGTGTTTTGACATAGCATTTTTTGGTCAGACAGCTCATCCGGATATAAGCTTAAGTGTTCTTTGTATACTTTCATATATAGTGCGGTTCGTAATTTATCGTGAGGAGATGGTCTCTTTTGCAGTGACCAGTAGTGCACTGCACTGGCTGTTGCACTACACTTTTATATTGGAGCCATCACGAATGTTATATGATTGTGTAGCGTATAATATAACATTGCCGAGTTTTTTTGTTATTTCCACGACCGGGATCGACTATCGCGCCTGTGGGCTACCAAGCCTTCCATCTCTCCGGGGTCGGCAAATTGGTACCAGACTTGTTTGGGAGGAAAACAGCACTGGCTCGATACATCGGTAGGTCACCGCGAGTCAGTAATAAAGGTCGGATGTGTATTCAGTCACCTCCAACGATGCTTAGTGAAGTCGAATGCATGGCGCATCTTCAAGAGGTTGATCAACGCAGAGCTTTGTCCTTTATCCTTTATTTCCACGACCGGCTTTCTATTAACCTCGGCATTGATCGAATAATTCCTTATAGTCTTGATGAACAAACACCAGCTTTTATTTCATTTATTTATTTACGAGCAAGCTGACGTTTCGCATACCTCAGAGCCTGGAAAGGTCAAGTTGACTCCAATCTACCCGGCCAAACACCTCCATAACCATACGGAAAATGCTAAGGAACGATTTCATTTCGTAAATGAAGAAATAACACCTCGTGTTTGTTTAAGAAGAATATAAAGAATTTTCCATGTTGTTCGCTATGATGACACTGAAAGCCCACAAACTGTAATCTCAAGTCTTTTTTGTAATGTACGGTATGTTTGGGATGCTTGGATATATGTATTGAAACGTGTTCACTTGCTGATTTTCCAGGTTTCTTTTCACGTGAAGATTGGAAAGAGTACGTAGCTAACGAGAAAATGCTGTTTTGGACATCCCAGGTATGCTTAATTAGGTTTTACTTACAGAGTTTATTAATAGTGTTCAAAAGGCTTCGTATTGGTCTTTACAAAGGGGTGTATAGCACGGTGATAGTAATGTTGGTCATCACGAGCATGGTGCTAGTTCGATTCCGCACCGAGTTAACCAAACCTCTCACCCTCTGGGACCGGGAAATTGGTACCGGTCTTCCTCGGGAAAAAATCACTCTCTGCAATCTAATTGTTAACGCTCCAGTCCAGACATCTCACGGCTCCAGAGAGAATTGACTCGACTACCATTCCACGACATTCAAGATGAAATGAAAATCCTCTAGCAGGAGCCGATGCCACATGTACAAGTTGGAAGATCTTCGTTGAAAATGGATGCAAGGAAACGAATCGAATGTGAGAAGTGCTGGGATCCGCACGGTAGTAGGCGTGAAGACGAGTGATGTGAAATAAAAAAAGTGTTTGTTAAGTAGTAATGGAAATATACGAAGTAAGAGTTTCATCCAGAGGGGCTCCCATGTTTCTGTAAGTGTATAGGATTATTGGCTACTTTTTCTGCTAGAACACTGTTGTCTCTGAATCATTCCATGTAGGCTAAGTTCTCGATCTCGAACTGGTCAGAGAGTAACGGTCTCGCCTAGAGCACTCAATTGTGAATGGTTCGACTTTTACACATCCACAGTTTTAACTTTTTCTTGGTCTTTTTTATTACTGTTAATTTCAGGATACTCGCAATGCTCTACTGTCTACAATGATTCCTGGCGGTGCGGCTGTCGCTGCGTTCACCGTTTTCGTCAAAGACAAGGAAGTTGTCCATTGGTGGACTACTGTGTGTTCTGCATTTTGTTGTTATGCTATTTACTGATTTTCTAGTTCTATGGGGGGAGGGGGGGAGGGGGCATGTTCGTCTGTCTGTTTCTAAAGCAATATAATGTCAAACGATCGTTTAATACCTAAAATATTTGGGTCCCTTTCTTTTCCAATTTTGAGGAATCATTGGTGCTTTGGATACTCGAACAAAAAGTACGAATAATGGGATGGAGCACTATGTAGTAAAAAGTATAGGTTAGAAAGTGGTTCTTTATGTTGCTTTCAAAATTTGCGTGTTTTTCGAGATAAATTCAAGCCGTTGCGAGGGCAAGTCTGTCTGAATTATTGCTGTATAGAGTTCTCTTCAGAAAATAAAGAAGCCGAACTGGGCTCCAAGAGATGTGCGTCTTTATTCCGTCATGGACATTCTCACCCTTTCGCCTCTAGGCTACGCATCCTATCTTGTATACAAAAATGGTGGAGGTTGGTTAACGTACTTTTAGAATATTTGCGGAATGAACGAAGGTAAACATTGCGGAACTTTTGAAGGTTTCGATTACACCGATACTCGCCTTGCTCTTGGCATCTACGGAACGAACATGGTTTTAGCTCTAGCAACTATCCCACTTATTAAGAAGAAGAATCTCAGTTGCGTGAGTTTTTGTCTTTAGTGTTTTGTTTGTCTGGCACGAATTAGCTTTGTTTTCGTTTATGGAAATATATGAAACAATACTTTTCCAAGAATAAAAAGAAAAGGAGACACTAGAGAGATACTTAGGCTAACCGAAGGTGTGCATCTAGAAAACCCAGATCTATACCCTTTAAGGGAACGGAAACAAAATGGCTTAAAGCGTTTGGTTCAATAGATGCTGTACTGCAATGTTATACATTACTGAATGATTTCGTTGTCATCAGACCGTGTTTCTCTTTATTTAGTATTTACATACTACTTTGAAACTCTTGTATGCTTCCCACTGCCGTTTTTCCATTCTCATCTCTAACCCAGTCATCGGTCTTTGACAACGCACGCTGAATAGACGGATGCTAACCGTTTTGGATTTCCAGACCAAATGTTTGCTAACAAAGGATTACAAGCATCATGGCTAATTGACCTATCTCATGATATTCAGCGTAGTAATGAATAATGACGTAGCTCTTTTCGTCGACTTAATTTCCATTATCAAGTCTCTACAAATCGTATAAATAGACGTAGTGAAGGCGTTTTGCGTAATACTGTTAACGAACTTCTGGTATCAAAATTATCGAGAGGACAGTTTTTAGCAGCTGGAGGTGGATAACGAAGAAAGGAGAACAAATTTTGAAGAAAAAGATTCTGTGCTCTACTTTCAAGGCTTTCAATGTTACAGCGCTATACCCATGCGATCAGCATGGTCATAGGGAAAACTAGAACCGAAGTGGGTGGTCCAGCTTAGTGTATAACTTCAATACAAATAATAGTTATATGTTTGCTAGGTAATTGCATTATGGCCAGGAAAAAATGCGAAAGGATTTTTAATTTCTGCTAAATGAAGGAATTCCTTGGGTAGTGTAACACTTTTTTAAAACATTTGTGCAAGAATTCGCTCGAGATAAGCAGGTACTGCAATGTAATTTGTGCTTGAATGGCGCTTCGTGACTGTGAATCGTGTGGGCTCCAGCACCATGTTAGTGTAACTGGTTCTTTGATAGTTGCTCTGGATTCTTTCCTGCAGAGACTCGAGATTTTCGTGTTAATGCTACACCGCGTCGTTATGACAGACACGGCCTCAACCATTAAGAATCTTAAGACGGTTCTCAGCTTCGCGAATAGGTTTTTTGAGGAAGGTGGAAACTTCAATTGGTTTGCACTTAGCTGAACTTCCAGATCGAAATGTTATACTCATGCTGTTCATGCTCATATACCTGGTAGGTTAACCGCTTGTCTTAGGTCGCAGTTTTGCGCTTCAGCTTCGAGATGTTACACCCAGAACATCTCGAAGCTGAAGCGTTTAACTCTTAAAGGGAGATTTTTGGGTATGTTCAAGAGGATCATTACAATTTTAACTTCGCTTTATCTTTAAAACGTTGCGAACTCTTTTTCCTTCGCCAGTACATCATATTTCATCTTGATAGTTCCATCAGTTGGAAAATCTAAATGCTACATGTGTTTTGGAAGATTTCATTATCAAAGTCTGCTTTTTTTTCTCTTCTTGTGCGAAAGTAGTAATATTTCATCTTAGTAGTGAAATCAATATTTTCATCGTTTGCTCAGCATCTGAATTTTATGCACTACTGTTTCTTGCAGGAAGTAAATGAAGCAGTGATCAGTTTTGCTTTCAGCTTTGGAAGAACACCGCCTTGGTGCACTTGACTGCTGCTGGAGCTGCTTATACATTTTACAAGGTGGGCGGTCTTCTCATCCTTTCTAATCGAGCACCCAGAGAATGATCATTACGGTTTTGTGTTTTACGAGGTATCTCACTGTATTGTGAACTCTGTGCTTAAACGTTTACAGTAACATGACTTTCAAAGGATTACCGCCACATCGTGACCGGGAAATGTTCGTTGGTGTCGAACTGCGTTGTGCAGTGGAGGTTTATCCCCCTGAAATTCTCCCAAGCCATTAAGCAATCCAGCGATTCCATCTGAAAACCCAGCTAGGAGTAAACCAATATCAGCAATCCCCGCTGTCCCGGTACCAAATTAGCCACATGATGGCAAATCTCTGACCCACATGGACCGGCGAAGGCCTGTCGTGGTGACGACCTAAAGAAGAAGACTTCGGCTAAACTGAACTCGGAACTGCAATGCCTCAACCAACAAAACTCTATCCCCAATTCCCTGCCCACTGCGCGATTCGGGCTACGACGTGGGACGGTGAGACGACCTGTGAAAGGTGACAAAATCTCGGGTTGCATAAGACATCGATGGAAACAGACAAAATGAACACCCCCATGATACGTCATGGAGAATGTTTCTTGGTCTACATTTATAGCACCAGAACATTCTTTTCAGACGCCAACCTTTACGCTATTCTTAAGGCCGCTGATCGCATCAAATTCCATCTAATCATCCTATAAGAGAGGAAATTGAAGAGGGGCGACATAGAGCAATTAGATGGGACCTTTATCGTTGATAGGGGGAAAATTCTGTGAAGAAATATCAGAGGCGTTCACTTTGTTGTACACCGATCTATTTTCCATCTAGTCACCTCATTCGAAATCCTGTCATCACGCTTGCTCTTATCTCCATCCTGCGAGGCAAGAGAAGGTCAGCTTCATCACCTGCTACTAATCAACTTGTATAGTTGATGAAAACGAATTGGATGAATTGTACAGTACACTGGAGGAAATAATCCGCAATGAAAAGTTTTATTAGTCGTTGTTGAGGATTTTGAGGACTTCTGTTCTAGATTAGAGACGACCAACTGAAATGAATATAAAATAGGGAAATTGAGATTTGTGTAAGATAGATATTCCCAAATACGAAACAGAATACAGAAACTTGGAATGGGGACTCCTCGGATTTTTATTTTTTTGAGAATTAATGTTTGTTTGGAGACAAAGCACTTGTTAGTACTCACGTTTGCGTGAAGCTACATCACTACCAGTGTTTCGGAGCTTCACTGTTAATCGAATGGTTGACATTTCTTCAGATTTTTCGATTTTCTTTCGCTTTTGTTTTGGAAGAAGTGTAGTGTATGAAACTACTTTGCAGATTGATAAGGAAGCTGGATTGTGGATGATTCCTTACGCGATTTGGACTGCATTCTATGCGTACCTCACATATTCTGTCGATAGGGAAAATAAGGTGATCAAGGACATCTGAAGTGCTGCAGTTTGGATAGACATTGTCAATGATTTGGCTTGCACGTTTTGTTACGAATCGCATTTTAGTCGTCTAGTTTGTTTCTGAAGTTTGCCACATTGTGCTTAAGTTTACACCCTTTTTTAGTTGTCAGTTCAGACTTGGAAATTCGAATAGTTTGTAATTTTCCGACTAGGATAGTACAGTTTGTATGGTAAAGCGTAATCTTACTGCTTAGATAAAATTTGTGTTCATTTGTTTGTTTTTATGGCACGTACTTTCGAGCTCCTTACTTTTTAATCCTAACTTTGCGAAGTTTTCCATAAACTGCACAGGTAATCTCTTCAGGTAAATTTAATGAGCTTCGTGTACAACAAGGTTAGTACTACTTCCTCATTAGTTCCTTTGCTATGGGTGTTCTAAACGTTCCGTAGACTGTTCTTAGATTTTAGGCATCGTATAAAGTAAAGGAGAGTATTAAGTGGAAGTGGGATGGTGTGAGAAGGAAGTGAAAGTATATGAATTAATGTACGTTCGTCTATTTTAAAGATTAAGGAGAGAGATCTAGAACGAAAGAAGTATATTTGTAAAGAATCCAGTGATTTGGTGAGAAAGGCGACTGAGGTGCAAGCATCTTGAGATAGGTGACTACTTACACGTAGAAGTTTGGATGAGGAGGGTGGGATTTTAGTTTTTCTATTTTCAATCCTTTAAGTTCTTCGTGTAATGAGGTGAGTGGGGGTGAGAGATCCAACACTTCATAGCCTTTTTTTTTTTAGTAAGATAGGGGTTTTGGTTGGTGAACAACGTGTTATTGCATTATTCGAAAGTGTGGGACAGCGGTTCCTATATACTGCATATTTGAAAAACTTGTTGTTTTGAGTACAAATTCAGGAAGAAAGCATCGAAAATGATGATATATGGGATGACACAGAGTTGATCAAGATGTACGATGAAGCCGTAAGCGCTACGTATGTGAGTTTTCTCGAGTGGTGTTGTATTCCGAGTGTTTAACTTGTCTTCAGGGTTATACAGAGAACTGCATGTTCTCTTGATTACACTTAGTTTATGTAATTGTGGTTGTCCGAAAACTGTCGACTTTCTTATACTAACTCTCATGCGATCCTTCTAACGACGTAACAAACGATCTAGAGATGTAACCTAATACGTAATTCATTGTATGATAATGTTTGTTAGTCTCTATTTATAACGTCGTTACGAAAAGGTTATTTCCAATGTTGTATTCTTCAATTCCCTCAGTTCCTGAGCGCCCCTTAACAATGCTGCATCTGTGATGCTGAGATATTTGCAAAACTTGGACCTCAAGCCAGATCCAACGGTGATTACCCTTCCGGGTTTCACGTGTTACCTGCTGCATTACTGAGGCCCTTGCTTTGCGTTTCTCCCAGCTAGTTTTCTGCCTAACGCTGCTGTCAGCAATCACCCATCAACGGGAATGTTATGGGGAGTACAAGTGAGCATTAAACCCAGTTAAGCTCTAATAACACGTGAGCTCCGGAAAAGTTAGTCGAGGTTCGACCTGCCCTGGGATTCAAGTTTTGCAAATATCTTAGCGTCATAGTGGTTGTGTTTCACATCACATCTTGTCATGAAAAATGATAATAGGTAGTAAGTAAAAAGTTAACAAGGCTACGTCTATTTCAGAAGGTTGAACCAGGCGCGAATGGGGTGAGTTCTTTAGCTTTGTCAAGGTTTTCTGAAACATAGATACGCTACCTTCTGCTGTGCAATAAAATACCACATATAGTGAATAAATTGAATATAATGTCGTAAATTATATTTATGAGCTTGTGTGGTTAAAACCCATAGCAGACCATATTAAATTTCCTTATTCACTTTTAAGTGTTTATTTCAGAGCAAACTAGGAGTTTCTTCAGCATCAAATGTGAGTTTAATTGTATTCATCTTCTTGTTACTCTTTAACTACTTTCATTCCTGTGTTGTCATGCTCAACATTTATTGTTTCATTAAAAGGGATGGTCAGTTGGTGATTCATGTCTTGCACGTTACAATGAAGACAATCTTTTTTATCCCGCAAAAGTGCTGGAGATAAGAAGTGAGGAATCCACCCGGCCTGAATATCTTGTTCTGTACGAAGGTTATGGTGACACAGACTGGGTGTCCTCTAATGATTTGTTACCAGCAACGTACGTAGCTGTCTTGTTATTTTCTGGTCTTATTTACACATCTTTTTCTGTTCACCCAATATCAATGACTTTATCAGATTTCAGGCCTTACGACGATTTACAAGAGAACGGTGATGTAACAATGAACAGTGCCGTTAACGAAACACCTACAAGGATGAAAATTGAGAGAACCACCAAAACTGCGAAAGGTCAGTTAATCCAGCGTGGTCTGTGAAGTTCGAAAATGTCTTGCTGATTTGTTTCACATCATTTTCGTTTGGAGTTTCATTCTAGCGTAGTTGGTACCGGTTTAATGGTGGCACCCGAACATATTCACGACTAGTCGTACTTTTGTGTGGCGATTGCGCTTAATTTTTCCACCATGCACGGCGTACATTTTGTCCGTAGAAAGGTTCTATGTGAAATCTTAAGCGTTTACGATAGATTTTCATGCATCATCTCTGACACATAATTTAAATTGGGTAATCCATTAGGTGAATACAGTAGCAAGTTGACTGTGGGAAAGTAGTATCAGAGAAACATGCATTGACATACTTCCAATGCATGCAATTCCTCGTGTGTTAATTAAATGAGTGACGATGGGCAGAAGATTGTAAGACTCTATGTATAACTTGTTCAAATTGTTGAGCTTACACGAGGTTGGTAAAATTGTTTTATTCGGCAATCGTTTCAACGTTTTCGTCTTCATCAGAGCCGATGATCCGATGAGGAACAACTGGTGATAACCAACTCTGGTCATCGGTTCTGGTGAAGACGAAGACGTCGAAACGTTTGCTGAATAAAAAATTCTGCTAGCCTCGTGTAAGCTCAGCAATTTAAACAAGTTGATTATTTTATTACCGTGATTAAGTGACGGTCGGTTTGATTTTTTTTCTATTGACTATGTTTAAAGTTATCTATAAGTGTCTACACAAGAATGCGAAAGCATAAAACATATTAGTATTGTCATTATGGAGCTAGGTGAGCCAATATTTTCCAGGTCGAGCATACCGGAAGAACAGTGAATTTTCGGACCGAGTTAGCAGTCGTCCACATCCAACGGTAGGCTGTTCGGTGTTACACTTAATTTCTTTATGACTTTTGAAGGAGAAGAGATTGAATTTAGATCCCTTTACTTGCTCCACCCCCTCCTAGCGTACATGCTGGTATTTCTGTACCAGATGAAGGCGAGGCCTTGTCGAGCATGCTTATGAGTTGGTACATGAGCGGTTATCACACGGGATATTATCAGGTTAGGTTTCTTTGCTGCGACGTTTATTCTTGGTACCTTTTGGTTCTCAACAAAAAAAAAATTGAAATCGTTTATGTGGAAATTGCATACTGTAGTAACTGATCCTCAGGTTGGAATCGCGTAAGCTGTTCTCTGGATCATTTTGAAATTTGGTCAAGTTAATGTATTGGTGCTTAGTACTTACTAATTTCAAGATCTTCCTTCATAGAAGCATATCTGGAGGTGATCGTTAAGATGTTGCTTCGGTTAATACCTGGTGGCGAACTGTTTGCAGGATTTGGAACTGTTTTCGTTCTGGATCTTTCTTTTGACGCACAAATCTTTATTTTTGTGGTTAATTTGTTGTACTTTCTTTCCCAATTCAAGCTTTCTTGCTGAAATTGTGCCAGGACTTAGAGGAGAAAAGAAAACATTGTGATTTGGACTGCAGCTTCAGTTTGACTAGGTTCAATACAGATTTGTGCTCCTCAGATCATTACTGTTGACGGATGATTAGGCTGAGGGTAAAAAGGTGGGTAGAAATGGTAAACCACGTTAGGGTAAAAACTGGCTGAGAGGAAGGCAAAGCAAGGTCCTCAGTGGTGCAGTGCGTAACATGTGACCTCTCGGAAAGGGTAATCGCTGTTCGAAGCTGGCCTGAGGTTCCAGGTTTTGCAAATATCTCAGCATCATTGTGGTTGATATCAGAATCTTCTGGGAAAAACCAATCTGCACACTCAGGCGACTACACAGAGTGAAGACCTTGGAACGCTATAATAGCAAATTTGTTGCATAGACTATTGATTGGATACAAAAATTATAGCAATGTTGTGTACAGTAAAGTAAGTCAAGGCATTGAGATTTATGTTTCGTCAAATTAAACCACTCCTCACACATGCATGGATATCATGGCATCTTCTGCTTGTATTGAAATAGGTTGTATAGACGCTTGCCGTCTTTACGACCTAAAGACACTGGCAGTATTTTGACAACCATGCATTGAAACACTGTCATAGCCACTTTTCGGGTATTTGGATTAAAAATTATCGCGGGTCTGTCAGAACCTTAGATCGTGGGGCAGAAATTTCTTCTGTGTGTTAACATCATGAACGTTTTCAATGGTGATGATTTATGTCGACATGTCCGAGTGCCACTCAGCAATTTGCAACTGCGAGATGCAGTTAGTTCAGTAGTTGACATGAATGCGAAAAATGTTTCCGTCCATTTTGTAGATGTTCGCCTTAGGAAGTGTTTGCATTGTCTTGGACTCCACTGTATTCTTCTTGTCCAGTTATTATTATGTTTTCATCACGTGATTAGCCTATCTGTGATTCCTTTCCGATTGTATTTTCCTGGATCCTAGGACGAAATAATTTTTAAAATTCTGAATTGTGCTTAACAGAATGGTAGGATGTTGCTCTGTAATCGATAAACCATTCCATTCGATCTGCTTGTCTCCTCACCGTAAGTTTTCCAAGAATTGGGTTTCTTTCTGATCTATGCGTAGTCCTACTTTTTTCTTCGTTTCATTGAGCTCTTTGGATATCGTATATGCTCCGACGATATTGTCGACAAAAAGAAATTGTGGTGGGAATTTTCATTTACCGCAAACACTTCCTGTTTCCAATCGAGCGACTTTATAATCCACTATACTTTCGATGGCAGCGAGATGAAGTTCTTGTGTAAAATATACGTCAGATAGCGTTTTTAGTGGAATCCTTATCGAAATTCTGCTCGTTGAATTAGTTGGGAGTCATCTAAGATTTTCACTATGTTCAGTAGGACATTCTTCGTGTGGAGTATGTAGCGCAATATGAACGAGCGAATTGGGTAGTCCTTGCGAAGATTATTGTGGTCACGTTGGATAGGATAATCTTGCGCTAAATACTTCACTGGCCAAGGATCCTTGCAGTGATATGTTACGTGGGTTTCGAGAACTGCGTGTAACTTGGGACCTCCAGTTCAATGGTTATTAATTGTATTGTTATCTTTACTGGATCTGTTTCTCTTCTGATGCTTTTTTTGGTCACTTTGACATCAGACAGAGGAATCGTAGGTGATTTTACCACAGCTGGGATTTTGGGGTCTGGCACGAGATTATATGGCAAAAGAAATTGGCGCGGACGTCTGCCGTGACTATTTCCGTGTGATGTGCGATGTCGACGTGATTCCTGCCGTTATTCTATAAATGTAATAACGAAAGATTATATTCGCGAATATCCCAGTTGTATTTTTGTTATGGTTCTTCGTTGAGGTACCACTATTACCAGCTGTGTGAGTGTGGATCATCTATTGTCGTGGTTTGGAGAAAGCTTTTAGTTGTTTTCTAGGACGAGTCTGATTCTTGCGGTTGAGGAGCCGACCAATAGCAGGCGGTTTAGATTCCTTAATATATACAATAGATTTACGTTTTGATTCCTTAAAATAGAATATTTATTTAGCTTTTGGTTCCTTCAAATAACATACAAACACAATATAGAAGACGAAGCAAGAACGTCATAGTTAGGTTTTCTAAAATATTTATGTACTCATCTTCGTCGTCTATCTAATCAATGAGAATAGAACTGATGAATTTTTGTACGGACGAGTTAACCACTGGGTAAGAAAAATATTATGTTGACTGTGCCAAAAATCCTATGAATTACAGTTTTAGATCTAATATCTGTCAGATATCGCTGTCTATCAGATATGTAATGTTACTCTTCACTAACCAAAATATACTAAGTAGTGTGTAATGTTTTTGAAAGCATCATATTATGAAGGATTGAGTTGATATGCTTCTCTTTATCGCGCACATTTTTCAGGCTATAAAGGATATGAACTCTAACAGGTGACTCATTCACTGTTCTTACGGGTTCTGTTACGCACGTCCTTGTAGCAGTAAATGGCTAAAACTGTCTCTGAAGTTCTTCATGACTTGTTTTGGTCGTTTCGTAGTCTTTTCAGTATAAGAATTTGACGTTCCATTTTGACACCAACAGTATTGTTATATTCCAGAAACGCCTACCTTTCTAACAAAATGTGGTCTCAGGTGTGATTTTAGTTGTATATGTGAGAATGAAAATATCATATGTTCTTTTACATCCATGGATTTTTCGTGTTTGAGGATTAGGGTTAAACCAGTGACTTCAACGAAATATGTTCACTGAGTAGACTGACGCAGTACTTTGTATATATCTTTCTACTTCTGTTCAGCAAGCACGAGGTGCTAAATAGCATGCTGAACAGAAGTAGAAAGATATATTCAATCAATGCCGAGGTTAATAGAAAGCAGTACTTTGTGTTAGTTGGCTCAATATAGTTTATCTTCCTGCGACCTAGCACGTATTTTCAACCACTGAGATTCTGGACAATAAATATTCACACTTTACACGCAAAACAGGAGTGAAGTGTGACATGTTTGAAGAGATGGAGAAGACTCTCTATAATTGGTTTTTCCAAGTTTATGTAACCCATGTCCGCCTAAAATATGTGAAATTTATTTTTGATCAATTATCATCAATTGATATTCGTATCAACAACAACCGTCCTATATAAAACAGCGTCGGGAGTGTGTTCCGCTCATTCGGGATGCTCAACTGAGGAAGATCCGGTTCGATGCGAGACGAAGACGCCACTTCGAGAAGAAGGTCAAGTATGGACTATCGACAAGGATCGTCGGCTCTGATGAAGAAGAAAACGTCGAAACGTTAGCCGAATAAACATCTTTCCTCAACCTCATGTAAGCTCAACAATATAAACAAATATGTGAGATTTAGTAAAGAATCTAGTGATCTCGAAAGACAATAAACACTTGTGGTTTATGCAGTCCACACATGTAGGTGTATCACCTGTATCACCTGTAGTCTCATTGATCGTCGAGTGACTCGAACGGGCGCCAGTAAATCTTCCATTTTTCCCTGTCGCGAGCAAGAGTAGCCCAGTGCGTTCTGCTCGCTCTAGGGACTCGTCGAGCATAATATCTTTCTTCAAGGCTTTTTGTGAAGAACGCTGACCATCGGGTCGGTGGACCCATCTTATCTTCAACTGTTTGGCGTACAGAACGGCAGTTTTGATTTCTTATCATTGGTGTTGGTCGGAGCTTTGGATCCAATGTTGTACTTGTGTGGAACGGGTACTCGTAGCATAGTCCTTTCGACTGCGCGTTCGATAACGCTGAGTGACCTTTCATCTTGCCTTCGCAGCGACCAGGTTTCTGACGCATACGTTAGGGCAGGAAGTACCGTTGAGTCGAAAAGGTGGGCACGGAGTCGGGTGTTCTTTGTTCTCTTCCCTACATCCTCGATGCTCTTGAAAGCTCCCCAAGTCGCTTGTTGTGTTCTGCTGAGCTCTGGAGCTAGGTTGTTTATCATATTGATTTCCTGACCTAGATAGATACAACTGGAGCACTCAGAGATATTCGTTCTGTTGAGCGAAATGTGGTATGCGAAACCAATCATTTCTTCATGAACATCGTTTTTGTGAGGTTTAGTCGAAAACCAATCTTTCCATAGGCTTTATCAAAGTCGTCAAGCATACGTTCCGCTGGGCAATATTTGGTGTTATAAGGGCGATGTCATCAGCAAAGCAAAGATGGTGTAACTGCCGATCGTCGAATTTCACTCCCATATTATCCCATTCCAATGTTCGCACGACATTCTGGAGCGTGACGGTAAATTTGGCGAGATGGTATCGCCTTGCCTAACTCGTCTTTTGACGTCAATGTTAATATCGTTGTAGAATGATGATATCTTGGTTGTGAAATTTTTGTACAGCTCACGATGAATCTTTATGTGCTGAGTAGGGACTCCTTGACTATCAAAGGTTTCCCGGAGTGCTTCCATCTCAACTGAATCTTAGGCCTTCTGTAAATCAATGAAAGTGAGACATAGCGGTCTTTTGTACTCTCGCGATACTTCATTGAGTGTTGCTATCGTGTGGATGCGGTCCATCGTACTAAATCCTCTTCGAAACCCTGCTTGCTCACATGGCTGTCCTTTGTCCAGTGTTCTGTCATTCCTGTTTAGGATGACTCGAGTGAAAAGTTTGTAGACGACAAACAGCAGATTGGGCGATAGTTGCCGATATCGTGTAGGTCACCCTGCTTGAACAATAACACGGTCCTGCTGGTCCTCCATTGAGTG